TGTGTCTGCACAAGTATATATGAATACAACCTGCTAAGTACATTTTGTTGTTTGTGTGTATTCAGTTTCAAGACTGACCACTCTGCATTGAACATCCAGTAAGGGGCTCCTCCCTGGGAGAAGTTAATTCTCCTCCCCATAGTTATTGGTTACTTGGTTTTTTGCCTATAGGTTGAACCCTGTGAAATTTCTCATACACATGTCCACTGATATTGCCACTGTTCCAATCTTGTTAATGCAGCCATTTCTAGAAGAAACCATTTCACAGGGGACTTTCAGGTTGTGGTGGTTTCAATAAGAATGGCTCCCAGACTCACATGTTTGAGCACTTGGTCCCCAGGTGGTTGACCTGTTTGGAAAGAGTTAGGAGATGCGGCCTTGTTGGAAAAGATGTTTGCCTTGGTCCTGGTGTTTTGTCACAGCAGTTGAGAAATAACTAAGCCACTGGTGTTAAGGCTTTCACAACCTTTCACCCCCTCTTTCACCGGGTTCCTGAGCCATAGATGCAGCAGCTGTGATGTTGATGTCACCGTTAGAGCTGGGCTCACCATGAAATGCTGCTCTCTGCACTGTGTCCAGCCGTGGTCTGCATTTGCAGTGAAGAGAGGCTTATTTGATGAGGGATGGTAGCAACATGTATCCAGGAAAGGTGGCTTGTGCACAAGTCATGGGTCTGGAACTACACTTGCGGGTTTGACTGCTAACTCTTAAAGCGGCAAGTTTTATTTTTATCTTCACATTAAAACACAACAGAGGGGAGGAAAATGTTAGCATACTTACACAGGAGCTTTCTTTTCATCAAAATGTCAAAACATACTCAAACTGGATATTGAAATTTTTTTACGGTAGGGAGAATGACATGCGAAATTTCATATTTTCTGCATCAGAAACTTCTGCATGAATATACACTTATCAGTGTGTGTGTGTGTGTGTGTGTGTGTGTGTGTGTATCTGTCTGGTATATGTGTCTATATATAGTCTATTAAGTGTTAGTAATAAGCTATTTCAGGTGATGGGATTTTCTGATAGTTGCCTGTATTCTGCAGTTAGTGTTTGGTGACTACTATCTTAACTGATATAAGGGATGTTTTCTACATCCTTAAAGTCTGGTAAAGGGTAGCAGGTTTTCATTTTTAATTGTTTTAGAGATAGCAGTTATTTTGCTTTTAGCATTTACTAGCTGAGATGTGCAGGTCTACAAATGAACAGTTATAGATACATAAAAGTTCAGTGACAGGGACTGGGACCAAAAGGTCTGCATTTCCTCCTGGAGCTTGTTTGCTGATGGTTTTACCTCAAGTTAATGAATTAACTTCTTGTAGGCCGCCGTGCCTTTATTTATAAACTAAGGTAATGGTGCTCCATAGAGCTGTGGCATTTGAGGGGGTAGGAAAGGCCTGAGTGTAAGAGCTGAAGCTTTGCACCATGCCAGGGTGTAGGAATGGCAAGGACTTTCTGAAAAGACACAGTGACGATCCCAAGAATTGGCAAATGGGCTTAAATGAAATTAAACACTTTATTATAGCAAAGAAGACAACCACCAGAGTGAGGGGACAGCTTGCAGATGGGAAAATAAATAAATGCCAACTAGGTCTAAATAGGGAACTAATTTCTAAACTATATAAAGAGCTGAAAAGATTAATTCCCTAAATACGTCTAATCAATAAGTAGGTTAATGAACTTAACAGTTCTCCAAAGAAGAACTACAGGAACCACTAAATATTTGAAAAGTATTTAATATCTTTAACTGACAGAGAAATGAAATTCAGACTCTTTATCTTCCATCTCACCCAAGTCAGAACAGCTGTTGTCAAGAACACATGACAGAAATGCTGGCTGGATGTGGCGAAAGGAGAAACCTTGCATGCTACTAATGCGAGAGTAAAGTGGTGTGGCCAGGTGGATTTGGTCAGAGAACTTAAAACGAGTACTACTGCATGAGGGCCTGGCACTCCTGGGGTGTACCTCAAGTCAGCACACAGAGACACTCGCACGTTTGTGTGTACTGCCTCACTATTAACAACAGCAAATAAATGGAACCTGCCTAGTTATCAATCCCTAAATGAACTGACAGAGGAATGTCCCCATAAACAAAGGGTTGTTCAGCTATAAAGGCAGATAAAACACTATTTACAGGAAAAAGAACACAACTAGAGATTGTATTAGGCAAAATAAGATACTCAGATACCATATTTTCTCTGTCTCGTGTGTGTGTGTGTGTGTGTGTGTGTGTGTGTAAAATAAAAATAGAAAAGGAGCCATGAGAGTGAAGGAAGATACCTTAAGGAAGGGGAATTAGGTGGAGCTGGAGGGAGGTAGACTGTGTAAGAAGAAAGCTGAAGTGAAAACCTATTTGGGGAAATAGGGGACCAGCCAGGGGAGGCAGGAAGAAAGGGAGAATAGTGAGTGTGATGAATAAGAACAAAGGGCTGGGTGTGGCCCAGTTGGTAGTGAGGAGGTAGAAGCCAGAGGAACTCAAGTTCAAAGTTATTCTTGGCTGCACAGTGACTTTGAGGCCAGCTTGGGATACATGAGATACCGTCTCAAAAAACAAGGCCAGTGTGATAGGTCAGCTGGGAAAAGCACTTGCCTGATACCTAGGATCCACATGATGAAAAAGCATGATGGCGTATCTGTATGTATGTGAAAATGCTGTAATGCAATCCAATACTTTGTATGCTAACTTACAGAGGTAAAACTTACCTCAGTGCCTGGCATGTAGTAGACATATAAATATTAGTTTTGTATTCTCTTTTAAAATCTAGTCATATTGGGACTCTGCCTTTTTTAGACTTATCATAAGATAATTGTGTGTAACACAATGTTATGAAATGAAGAGTAAATATATTATAAACAAAATGTTGATGTTAAATCAGACATTGCTTGTCCATAAACTCTCCAGCCTGGTTATATTGGCTTCTTTGCCCTTCATATGTTACTGACATGTCTAGACAGACTAGTGAGTTCTGTAGAATGGTTACATAAGTAGTTTCTAGATGACTCTTTGGATTTATTTCTTCTGTATCTATTTTAATGTATTTATGAACTAAAAACACAGCAAGCATATGGATGGAATCTTTTAGGACTAGGTAAAAGTGACTCCTAAAGAAAGGTCAACTTGGGGCTGGAGAGATGGCTCAGAGGGTAAGAGCACTGGCTGCTCTTCCAGAGGTCCCAAGTTCAATTCCCAGCAACCACGTGGTGGCTCACAACCATCTGTAATGTAATGAGACCTGGTGCCTTCTTTGCCAGCAGTACACTGTATGCTTAATAAATAAGTACATCTTTTTTTAAAAAAAAGAAAGAAAAGAAAGGTCAACTTAATCAAGAATGTCAATTCGAATATTATAAAGTATGGCAAAATTGATATTGAATTGGGTTGGGACTTTAAAAAATAAAAGAGAAAAGAACAAGCAAATTGACTGTAGGTTTTGGACTCTGTGCTCTGAAGTCTCATGTGCCCTGGGTCCCCATAACCTTTCTGGCTTCCAGCCTAACCTGACAAGCTCCAGGTTCAGGGAGAGACTTTGCCTTAAAGGAATAAGGTCCCCAATACCCTCCTCTGGCCTCTACTGTCACATGCAAACACACACACACTGCATTTACATACAGACAGATAAAAAGTAAAAAAAAAGTTCATTAATTACTCTGCCTGTCTTTCCATCCATACATATGCAAGTAGCTGTGACTTGTATTTTCAAATTATTTGAAATTACTATATTATATGAGATTATATTATTATTAAATTACTATATGAAATTATATTATTAAATTATTATATGAAATTTGTAGACAAAAATAGGAACAAAAAGCTAGTTTTTGTGTCATAGATATACCTATAGCAAATATGCTTTAGTGGTGTTTCTGGGAGCTGCAGACCTTCCACTCTTCCTCCTGTGCCAAACTTATTGACATACACTTAAAAGCTTATAAGCCACACATGTTCTGTTTTGTATTTTAGATGATTTTCCCCTTTATTTAGCTGTTGTTATTAAAAGAATATGCTTGTATCTTAGTATTAAATAATGGCTATATGAAGACATAAGTATTCTGATTCTCAGACATTTTAGTAAGTAATGTACAGGCATAGTTTTTAGTAGCCCATTGTATTTTTATGCATCTTGGGTCTTTGGAAGTGGCTTAGTAGGTAAAATGCCTGTGATATAAGCATGAGGACCTGAGTTCGGATCCCCAGTACTCAAGTAAGAAGCCAATTGTGGTAGCATACACCTGCAAACCCAGTTCTGAGAAGACAGATCCATGGAGTCCTTTGGTCAGTTAGCCTTGCCAAATAAAGGCGCTCCAGATGAAATGAGAGACAAAATAAAGAGACGGACAAAAGGTGGTGTATAGTGGTGGAAAAAGACAACTGATAGCGAATTATGACCTCCACAGGCATCATGGTTCATGATTTTTCTGGTTCTGTGCATTTACTCAGGACCTCCCTGGTTCATCAAGGAGGATTTGCCTGTAGCTTTTCTCCATATTTCTCTTTCCTTCCATTCCCTGAGGTAGGGAACCAGCTGGGTCACAGAATCCAACCTAGTGTGCTATGGGAACAGAGTGCAGCCCTGTGTACAATGGGAGGAGAGAGGCAGCAAGGTCTTGGGTCTCTTACATACTTAATAAGGCTGTGAATTAACTCCCTAGGGCAGTCACAACAGCTGTTGAATCCTGTAATACATACACTGTGAGTTTGGGGACGCAGACGCTTCATTAGTATCTTTATTATTAGTGTCCTGGAGGACTAATTGCTTGCTCTCTTTACGTAGAATCTAGATTTGTTCTATAAAAATTAATTTTGCATACAATGCTAGAAAGTATTTAAAATTTGCAGCAGTTTCGGAACTGCCTTCTTCACCATATAACTCTAAGTAAAATTTATTCTTCTTGCTGATAATTTAATAATTTTATAAAGTGGTGTACAATAATCAAAAGAGAAGATAGAACCTGTCATGGTGTAGTGTATGCTCATGTCAAATGTTCATTTGATCTTACAGGACAGACTATTCGAGAGAAAAGAATTGTAGAAACAGCAAACAGAAAGGAGCTAGACTATGAAGCAGGAGACATCCCAACAGAATGGGAAGGTAAGTGTTCACTTCTAATAGGGTGTTCTGAAAGGCAAAACATTTAATGATCTATAAAATTAGAGTACATAGAATTACTTCTCCATGGAAACACTTTACAACTTTGTTTCTGGACCATTGCATTTATTTGAAATTTGTAAAGGTAACAATTTTAATAAAGGAGTGCATGTCCGGCACCAAGAGTTGTAAGGAGGCTCCATTGGGACTTGGCGGTGAGGCAGGCAGACCAAGCTCCTATCATGTAAGACACAGGAGTGTGCTCATGCCTGGCTCTTGCACCTCCACAGCCCCCGACTAGAGTTCTTTTTCCAGCATTCACTAACTTCCAAACTTGGGAAAGTAGCATATTTTAGGTCTTCATTTTCTCCTGTATAATTTGTAGAGAACACTTATATTAGATGCTGTTTGGAAGTATTTATATAACTCACAAGGAACCTGTGAAGTGACTTCCTCTTAAATTAAGGATAGATGTTTGACCCCTATCTGAAGACAGAAGTTGGTGTGGAGAGCTACATAAAACAGCTCTTGCCTGTGATCTTAGCACTTAGGAGCTGAAATGGGAGAATTGCTTCAACCTCAAGGTCAGCTTGGGTGACATAGTAAATTTCAGGCCAGTCTGGGCTATAGTATGAGACCTTGCCTCAAAACCAACACACACACACACACACACACACACACACACACACACACACACGATCAGGAGGACCTTAGATGCCACAGAAAAAGCTGTGTGCAGCTGCCGGTGCGCCTGTAACTCCAGTGCTGTCTGGAGTGGAGATGAGAGGATCCCTGGCGTGTGCTGCCTCGTGCGTGGCTCCAGATTCAATGCGAAACTCTTTCTCAAGAGATTAAAGCAGAGAGTAATAGAATACTCAGTGTCCTCCCCAGGCCTGTAGGAGTAAGAGCACACATGTTGGCGCATGTGCACACATGTGCACAAACACTAAAAGTAGAATACTTAACTGAAATACCAATATCTGTCTTCTACTTTGCTTTACACTTGCCAAGTGTTACCTGTGGTTGTTTGCTACAGTCATATCATGTTTGATCATAACAGCAACCGTCTAATTCAGACACTGTTTATTCATGGTTAACCTAGAACATCTAAGATCCAATAAGTTTAGTGCAATTGCAGCTCCATACACTTAGAGCCCTCACTTCCTGGTGGTCACGGCATGATAGCCATGATAGCTTCCATGTGGCAGCCATGAGCTGTATGTTCCGCTTATGGCAGCCTGTGCCTGGAAATACCATTTCAGAGACGGCCATTTCTGCTCCCTGACTGTGAGAGGACAGCTCCATGGGTGGATAACAGAGCTTGTTTTCTTCTACAGTGAAGTCTCTCCGTTGGCAGCTTGTAGAAGGAGCAGTTGAGCTTTATTTTCCCAGATTGTCAACATTTGCAAATCTCGAGTAGTAATGCTGTGCCTTCTTATGAGCCTAGTTCGTCATTTCCCAATAATAGTATAGAATTAAAGTGTTTATAGGAATAAATTAGGTTATAAATAAACAAATAGGTAATGGCTAATTTTTCAGCCTTTGAGACTTTCAGAGAATTGGAATGAAGTTTTAATGCTTTTTACGACTCTGTCCTGATCTAGTAATTCAGCATACGATCCCCACGGGGCATATTCTTAAAAATTATGAATCAGCCAAATACTGAAACACAAACACTTTTACAGTGGCACACATCAATTAAGTGAAAAAAAAAAATAAGTACTTTGTACCATGCAAATATATACAGCACAATGTACAGGGAAGTGAGGGAGCTGTACATTGAAGTCATTGATACCAGCACCAAAGGAACCTGCTTTCAATCCAGGTGAATAAAAGTTGACATTTTTAATTGTTAACATTAAAAGTACCCATACCTACCAGTTGCCTGCTGTTGTACAATAAGGATTAAATAGTGTGGCTCTCATTCGTTTATCTAGGAAGCTGTTGACTTCCTGGAGCAGACATTCAGGAGTGGGAGCAGACACTTGGATTAAGCACTAAACTACATATATGGTAATGACCATAGAAAATGAAACAGGCCAGGGACAAATAGAGTACTCTGAAAGCTTTTACAATTTTAATTAGTATTCAGAGGGACCTTTCTGAGAAGGTACCTTTTTTTTTTTCTTTGCATAAAGACTGAAGAAAGATCTGTCCCTGCTCTAACCAGAGAGGGGCATTAGTAAAGCAAGTACAGTGGCCCTGAGGCAAAGGCCTTCCCTGGTGATTAAGGAATATCAAGGAAGCTAATTTGACTGGCATAAAGGTGAGAGAAAGCTATGGGAGATAAGTTTAGACTGTTAGGAGAATGCCTGATCTGGTAGGCAGCTTTGTGGGCTACCGTAAGGACCCAAGCCTTTGCTTCCAGGGAAACTGGAAGCCTCTGAGAAGTTGGAGGAGCAGTTGTGTGCTGAGTTATAGTTAAAAGGATCTATCTGGCTACTGAGTTATAAGAACTGAGGGCAATGACATCAGAGCATGGAGACAGAACGTTTTCTAATACTAAGGCAAAGAATAATAATTGTGACTTGGAGCAGGTTAGCATCAGGAATAGAAGGAAGTAGATATGTTCTGGAACAACACAAAAGTGGAGCTAATGGGATTGTTGACAGACCAGACACGATTGTGAATAAGCATGCTGAGCCTTCTAGTCTCAGCTGGAGCAAATGCAGTGCTGTTAACTGTAACAGGAACAGCAGACTAGGAGGGAGGTAAAACCAGTGTTGGAAATGGTAATTAGAGGGGCCCGTTTAGCGTCCGATTAGAAATGGTGAATTGCGAGTCAAGAATTCAGTGGAGCTGGGCAGTGTGGCGTACTTCTTTAGTCCCAGCACTCGGGAGGAGAGGCGGGCAGGCAGATCTCTGAGATCCAGAACAGCCGAGAAGACACAGAGAAACCCTGTGTCCAAGAAGAAAAAAAGAATTCAGTGGAAATATCTGGGTTGGGAGTAAAAATGTGGAGTTTCCAGCAAACAAATGCCACCTGAAAGGCTGGATGAGGTCACAGAGACAGGGAGTGCAAACAGGAAGTGTGGGACAGGCTGGAGCCTGTGCTCCTCGGGTTTAGAACAGTGGAGACAAGAAAATTAGGAGAAAAAGGAAAAACTTCCCACTCTGGAAGCCAGTCATCAGGAAGGAAACTGAAGAACATGTCACCCATTAACCATTTACTTTAAGATCAGACAGACCAGCACTGATCTCGACAAAACAGTTCAGTAGACTAGCGGAACCTGAGAGAAAAGAGAGACTTTGGGGAAGTAAGCAGAGATGGTGCATAGCTTAGCTGGGTGCTCTAGCAAGGATCCTGTGAGACTGTGATGAAGGTGCCAGCCTTCTTCCCATCTGGATGTCTATTGGCAGCATCAGTTCCTTGCACTTTTAAGATGAAGCTTCAAGTTTTTGCTTCATATTTAAGAAGCCACCCTGAATCCTAAAGGTCACCAGATTAATTCTTATATCTGTCAGATATACTTAAAGTTCATTTACCAGAGAACAGCTCATTTCACAATATGTCTTTTGAAGAATTTCTCAAACTTGAAGAAAGTGTACCTTTATTTATTTATCTATTTATTTGTATGAGGTGTCAACACTCAGAACTGGTGAAGATCACTTTTTTCTTTCTTTTCTAATTATTAGACTTTATCAGTCTCTTCCTTAAGTAAAATAAACATCTCTTCCAAATTTACAGATTTTGAGTGCAAACCGGTAACATCTTTATATTCTTTATACTTTTGATTTTATTCACCTAGTAACCTGGTGGTAGGATATCTAATTTACCATACATGGTTAGCAGTGTTTCTAGAAGGATCCTAATGCCTGTAGCGATTTGGAGAAAGTATGCCTCATGGAGCATTCTTCTCCCTGCCTTTTTTTGTCTCTACATGATTAATGGGAGCCTTAATTGCATGCTCACCTTTATACTCAATGTAGTTTGTATGTGCCAACGGGAATATTAAAGTTCATGCATAGTGATGAGAATGCAGATGAGCAGATAAAAGACCACTAGGATCTTAGGGCCTTAACTGTCCAGTCCTTTTGCTAAATTCTCTTTCAACAATGGTAGCATAAAGACAACTGGTACAGAAATCACCTTATAGATATTTTACTAATAGTAAGAACGTTTTATGATTCATAATTGGATAGAGGTATTGTTTAGATTGTTTTGAGATTTAAAACTCATGCTTCAGTAGTACTGCTTTTTCCCATCCCCTCCTCTTCTGCCTTTTGCCCGCTCTCACCGGGATAGGTCTGTGTGACCTGTGGTAGCTGAGAAAGTGGGTCTGATTGTCAGAGGGAGTGATCACATGGAGCGTGTCCAGCTGTGGTCTTTACTTGTTATGGATTCATAACAAATAGTAGTGCCACCGGCCATCATCTAAAGAGGTTTCAGGTATCTGGTTTGTGAAGAATCGTAAATATACAACTTTATTGCAGTAGTTAATGTTTATGTATCCATTTAAAAGCAAAGATCATGAAATGATCATTTAAAATGAAGCCTAGGGAAGCCAGTGGTCCTTTTCAGAGAATGATGTGCTGTGACAGTGACTGGCTGGCACCCAACACTCGGCATCTGGGCTCTGTTACATTCTCAAACTTATAAATGGGTATTTTAAACTTAAAACCAATAAACATCAGAAATCACATGTTTCAACACAATATGATATATAGATACTGAAATTTTTAATTTTATATAATTTTTATGTCATAAAACGTTCCTTCAATTTTTATAAACTAATATTTAAAGATGTATAACAAGAGATAGTACTCCCATGTCTTCACCCTTATTAAAACCTTTTAAAATAAGTAGGGGTGCGACTTGGTGGTGCAGAGTGCTTGCCTGCCATGCACAAGGCCCTTGGGTTCAGTCCTCAAGTACTGAAAAAGACGGGAGAATTTTTTGTAATGCTCTGTGTTTATTAAAACATCTTTTTCCAATCTTGGAAGAAATCTGAAAATGCTGCTCTGTGGACTTCCCGGTAAAGCAGTTATTTTGCGGTGTTTTCTCCTGATCATAGTGTGCATTATGCTATTACACTTCATCACAGTCTCTTCCCACTGGTATGTGTTTATAGACTCTAGAATATACAGTAATCATTAGTAGATATATAATAGTGATCATGAAGTTTGTTTTAGGTATTAGAGTAGTGGTTTGCTTTAGATATATACTTGTTACTGAATGGATTGTACTAAATGACAGCCCTGCGGGTTGGCACACATTTTCTTTAAAGGACCAGATGGTATTTTGGACTTTGTGGGTCATTTGGGCTATTGCAGTTGCTCAATTCTGCTGCTGTAGCCATAGATACAAATCAGCATGGCTGTGTTTTGATAAAATTGTATTTATAGACCCCGAAAATTTAAGTTACTTATAATTTTCATATGTCATGAAATATGCATCTTTTGACATTTAAAAACACCACATAAAGATGTAAAAACAAGCAGTAGACTGAATTTAGCTTGAGTCTCAAATTTGCTGAATACTGTCTTGGTGGTTGACTGTTCTGAACTAAGTTCTAATGTGAATTAAAGTTGAAGAGTTATCTGAAACTTTTAAGAAGTGTAGGCCTTACACTGAATGGTTTAATCCAACCTCTTTCCTGGGGGGAAAAATCAACAAATATAAATAACATTTTGACAATAAAGAAGTAGTTAAAAATATTGTAAATCACTTCTTTTCCTTGATGACATAGAGGAGTTCTGATGTTACAAAGCCTTTTTTTTTTCTAATGGGCAAGAACTATTACAATTCATTGTAATATATATTGGAATATGCATTGGACATGTGTATGCATGTAAGTATTAAAGACTTACTTTCTCAGGGCATTTGCATGATAAATTTCCCATTGGTGCACCTTGATGTTGACAACCTACAGTCATATAAAATCTTTGCAAGTTTTAGTTCAGATGGGTCAAATAGAAGCTAAGGATAGTAAAAAGAGAATGCAGAAAAGAATCAGATTAGAGTAGTTCAGAAATGGAGTAGAGGGTGCTGAGCACGTGGGTCAGTGCAGGAGAGCACAGCAAAGGGGCAGTAATCCCAGCCCACAGTGCAATGTCTGTTTCCACACCCACGACTGTGCAGAACTAGACTCTGCAGAAAGGTAGGTCCTGGTGTTATTATTTGTGTGATAAAGCATTCGGCAAAGCTGACTTGAAGAGTGGTGTCTGGTCTATTCAGCTGGGAGAGCTCGGTCTTCACGGCCATTCACCACGTTTAATTCCCAGCCTGCTCAGTCTGTCTGTACTTCGTTCCCTGGTGTGTGGAACGGGGTCGATGTTTTGTCCTTTCTGCCATGGTTAGGTTTGCAGCTAGTCCTCCTCCTGCTTTGGTGCCCTTTGCTGCTAAAGGTTGACATACTGCTTAGGAAGGCATGGTTGATTTCAGAGCCAAGGGCCAGAGCAGATCTTCAAACCTGGAGAATTTATCTAATTTCCCTATAAGATAAGGAAGGGCACTTAAGGGTTTTACAGAGAAGACTGAGTCAACTAAAATTAGAAAACAGTTTTTCCTTTTCTAAAGCAGTAGTTCTCAACATGTGACTCGCGACCCTTTTGGGGGTCTAATGACCCTTTCACATGGGTTTCCTAAGACAGTTGGAAGACACAGATATTTACATTATAATTCATAAAGGTAGCAAAATTACAGTTATCAAATGGCAACAAAAGTAATTTTATAGTTGGGGGTTACCACAACCTGTGGGACTGTCTTAATGGGTCGCAACAAGGAAGGTTGAGAACCACTGCTCTAGAGACTATATTGCCAACAGTGAGCTTCTCAGAATTTCCTGTAAACCCTCATAGGACAAGCAGATGTTATTGGGTCTTTGCTTTTGAGACCATATATAGACAATGTACAAGACTGGGGTGGTGCTGTATACCTTTAATCTTATACTTGTGAGGCAGAGGCAGGAAGATTTCTGTGAGTTCAAAGCCAGCCTGCTCTACAAAGCCAGTTGCAAGCCAGCCAAAGCTAATAGTGAGCCCCTGCCTCAAACAAAACAAAAGAGAAAAACAAACATAGATGTACTAAATAAAATGAACAATAAGAATACATTTATATGCTTACATACTAAACAGTAAGCTGAAGATATATGTAAGTATAAAAATCATGTAGCTTTCAAAACAACTATTTGCTATAGGTACCATTTTAATTTCCATTTTTCAGAATCGAAATCTGATTTGAAAATTAAGTTGCCCTGGGTACCAGAGCTAGAAGTGATAGAGGTGGAAGGAGAACCAGACAGTCTGGTCTAGAGCATGCTGTGTAACTTTTCTGGTCTAGAGCATGCTGTGTAACTTTTCTGGTCTAGAGCATGCTGTGTAACTTTTCTGGTCTAGAGCATGCTGTATAGTGTTTCTGCTCTAGAGCATGCTGTACAGCGTTTCTTATCTAGAGCATGCTGTGCAGCTTTTCTGGACAGAGCTGCTCCACTCCCTTCCCTGCACCATAGCTAGGAATTGATAGAGGTGAAAGGAAAACCTAGGCAGTCTGATCTAGAGCATGCTGTACAGCTTTTTCTGATCTAGAACATTCTCTAGCTTTTTCTGGTCTAGAGCATGCTGTGTGGATTTCCTGATCTAGTGCATGCGGTGTAGTTTTCCTTATCTAGAGCATGCTGTGTGGCATTTCTGATCTAGAACATGCGGTGTGGCTTTCCTGATCTAGAACATGCTGTGTGGCTTTCCTGATCTAGAGCACACTCTGTAGCATTCCTGATCTAGAGCATACTGTGTGGTTTTCCTGATCTAGAGCGTGCTGTGTAGCTTTTCTGGATGCAGCTACTCTATTCCCTTCCCTCTGCTGCAGTGTCTACCAAGTGGGCATTGAACCAGTGTCTGTGGTCCACCTCTGTATCCTGCCTCCCAAGAGTTCAAGTGAAGACTGATGGTATTCTCTAGCCACAGATGGCAGCTACTTACTAGAGCACATAAGAAGAAAAATTCCTGTAATAAAAACTTTTCTAAATCCTCGATAAATTGGGCAATTACAAATTCAGATTTTCAGAATAATATAATTTTGACATTGCCTAGAACTTTATTGTGATTTGTTCTTTATGCCATAAATAGACTAAATTGAATTCTGATGATTACGAGCTGCAGTTTTGAAGATATGAAACTGTCCTCCGGACAGTCTAGTATTTTTTCACAACACCTGTCACCACCTGACTTTATATATACATCTGTGTGTTTAGTTCCTGTACCCCACTTCCCTAGTATTTGTGCTACAGTCGATTGAGGCATTTCATCTGCTCAAACTCCAGCATTTAAAACAGTTCATCATAGATGTTTAAAAAATATCTTATAGATGAGTGAATCAAAGCTTTATGTATGGCCAGCAAGATGGCTGAGCAAGTAAAAGCTCTTGCCACTAAGCTTGATAACCTGGGTTCCATTCCCAAAACCAACATGGTAGAAGGAAAGAACTAACTTTGGTAGGTTACCCTCTGACCTCTACACATGCTGTTGGGTCCCTCATTAAAAAAAGTGTAAAAGGAAAAATGTTTAATTTGGATAAATTATGGAAAATAGACATTTAAATGCTATTTTTTTTCATTCTAGCATGGATTAGAAGAACGAGAAAGACTCCACCTACTATGGAGGTAAGAATACATGGGAAAATATTCAAATAGTTTATGCTTGTAATGCTGTGTTTTCAGCTGAGAACTTGTACTACTAAACATACATAAATTCTTGGGAAAAATATCATACATCTCAGAGTATTAATTTTACTCTGTAAGAAGTAATTCTCAAGTATTTCTAGTAAAATAATTTATTATTATATTAGCGTTACATAGTAATAAAATATTGTATGATAAAATATATATGCACATATTCTTGTATTCTTATATTTTCTTTATTCTTGAGAATTTCATGCATGGATTCAATGAAATACAATTATATCCATTTTCCCATTTCTCTCCACCAACTACCCTGTATCCCCCTCCCATAGTCCCATCTTTCAACTTCATGTCTCTTTTTGTTTTTCTTCTTTCTTTTTCCATAATCCATTGAGCCCTTTTAGCACATTTGTGCATGGACATGGGGCCAGCCACTGCCACAGAAAGCTTGCCAGTGGGAATATCCTCAGGAGGGAATGATTCTCCCTCTCTCAGCATCCACCAAGTGCCAACAGCTTCCGTTAAGGGGCGGGGCATGGAGAACACACTGCCCACCCATACATCCTGGAGTTTTGCCTTGTTTGACCTTGTGCAGGGACTGTGAGTGCAGTAGCCACGTCCTGTCCAGAAGCAGAATTGTATGTTGTTACCAGTATCTCTCTTCACACAAGCAGGATTGTATGTTGTTACCAGTATCTCTCTTCACACAAGCAGGATTGTATGTTGTTACCAGTATCTCTCTTCACACAAGCAGACCCTTGTGGATCGGAACAGAAAATTATCAGATGCTGGTCAAGCTCCCACTCTCGTGGACAGTATTTTTCTGGATTATCTGCCAACTTTTGTCTCTAGAGTCTCATTTTCTTGCTGCTCCCATTCTGAGTGGCACCCCCTTTACTATTACAGCTGTTGTACCATGGTCAGATGCTACCAGTACTACAACTCTTCTTCAATTTTACCTTTTCATACCTCTGCTCTTGCCTATGATATGTTGATTTTGCAGCTTAACATTCAGAGAAGAATATTGATTCCAAATTCTTGAAGTCTATTTTAGTGTTGTCTTCAAGTAACTGACATTCATTGAGTTCTGTGTGTTTGGTATTATTAGGCTCATTTTATAAGTTAGCAAAATGAAATGTCCTAATTTTGACATTTTGCATATATGGCTCTACTTTTTTGTTGACTTAAATTACGAAGGTGAATGTTGGAAGCGGGGCTGCTTGTTTGTCCTGGCAGCCCAGAACTGAGATAATCACACAGAAACCATATTATTTAAATTACTGCTTGGCCCATTAGCTCTAGCTTCTTATTGGCTAACTCTTACATCTTAATTTAACCCATTTCTATTAATCTGTATATCACCACAAGGTCATGGCCTACCAGCAAAGTTTCAGCACGTCTGTCTCCAGCAGCAGATCCATGGCATCTATATGACTCTACCCTTCTTTCTCCCAGCATTCAGTTCAGCCTTCCCCGCTTACCTAAGTTCTACCCTACCAACAGGCCAAGGCAGTTTTGTTATTCATTAATGGTAATCACAGCACACAGAGGGGACTCCCACATCAAGTGAACTATGTGTTCTTTCAAAAAGTAGACACCTCTCTTATCCCAAATATTGTATTTTTAGAAATGTGGTAGAAAATTGCAACATTTTTACACTCTGGGATCTAGCATCATTAATTAAAAATTAATGAAGTAGAACTGATGTCTGAACATGGGCAAATCTCAGAAAACATGGTATTGCATAAAGAGAGCAAATCACAGAAGATGCCATACTGTATGCCATTCATATAATCTTGAAAGTAGGGAAAGAATAATGGGCATTCATTCAGTTAAGGTGGGGACTTAAAACAGGGGTCCACTTTTACAAGTCTAGTGAGAATGACAGTTTAATATGAAAGACAGAAACCTACATAAATAAGTAAATAATTAGGAGAAGGCAACTTGGATAAAACTAACTGCTTAAAAACCTAACTACCATCTTCAGAGATACAAAGCAAAACAAACTGCTGCTTAAGCAAAGTACCATTTCATCACACAAATGGTTTGGGGAAAATATAATAAATGAAATATTTAACGGAAAGATTAGAACCTTATATTGAAGTCATTTTCTGTAAGGCAGGACAAAGGACAGAGGTGGCTACAGAAAAGGAAATGGTTGGCAGCACTGGACGCTAGAGACAGTGCCCTTAGTGCATAGGTCAGTGGCGGCCTGTAGTTCTGTACTTATTGTTATCAGCTAAGCTTGAGTAAGGAAAATCATTTTCACTCATGGGAGGTCTCGCAGAATTGTTTTCTACACACCCGTTGTCAGGAAGTTATGGAAGTGCAAAGATGAGAGGATGGGACAAGGGTCCAGCCTAGGCAGAGAGTGCTGGAATACAAGGGCAGCTAGACCACTAGGTGGTGTGGGGGCAAGAAATGCAGGGAGAGGGTTGAAATACACAGAGGACGTGATACACTGGAAGACAGTAAATGAGCCTCACTCACTATACATCAGTGTGTGCAAAATAGAATTCACTCATTAGCTCCAGTAGGAACAAAACGTGGTGTTTTAGGACAAAATGATCACAGGAACTCTTTTAAAAGAAAATATTTAGTTGGGGCTGGCTTATAGTTCTATAAGTTTAGTCTATTATCATCATGGTGGGACATGGTGACATGCAGGCAGACATGGTGCTGGAGAAGAAACTGAGAGTCCTACATCTTGCAGGCAACAGAAAGTAGTGTGAGATACTGGGCAGTATCTTGAAGCCCACTTCCACAGTGACACACTTCCTCCAAGAAGACCACACCTACTCCAAAAAGTTTTACACCTCCTAATAGTGCCAGTACCTTTGGAGGCCACTGAAATCAAACCACCCCACATGGGTAGAAAAAGGGAAGTAAGCATACATAAGTCACTAGTTAAAAGTATTCTTGCAGAATAATATAAATATTGAATGTTGAACTGTAACTGGTGGCTGCTGGAAAACAAGGCTGGGGTAACTCTCCATTTCCCATTATAGGGAGTCAACACACAAAGCTTAAATCCAAATAACAAGGGAGTGATCATGAAGGGTTACAGGCTGCTGCAAAGTCCCTAGGAGCAGAGCCTGCTTTTCAGCTCTTGGGCGGCCCTTTGCATCCTTGGTTTGGCCTGTGCTGTGACCCTAGGTGGCAAGTGAGCACTGGGTGTAGAGCCCTGCGCTCTCATCCCCAGTCTGCCAGCAACCATCCAGAGTCAAGTAAAATACGTAAAGTAGCTGCTTTGAGGGAAGGAGTTATAGTATTTTCATAACAAATATTTTTGTGATATTAGCCCTACAAACTTTGACTTAAAAGAGGAAAAAAAAAAAGAATTTGTTTTGTTTTGCGAGACAGGGCCTCACACTGTAGCACAGATTGTCCCTGAATTCACACCAGGTTTCTTGTCTCAGTTTGTCCCCTGATTGCTGGGGTCTGATGGGCGAGTCCCATACCCTACTACAGGCTTTCTCAGCATAAGCTTTGTAAGCCAAACCATAATGTAGTAGACTTGGCAGTTACTGCAAAATGTGTCTGATTGTGGTTGTGCCCAATAAAACTTTATTTAGAAAAACAGTAGGTCAGTGAAAGCAGTCAGTTTGCCAAATCAGCCACAAATCAGTGGTTTCCAGACTGTCAGCCTGTACCGCTGGGCATGGAGAAGCTTCCTGTCTAATGTTCAGGTTCAGTAGCTTTAAGGAAATCAATTCCATCTTCTCTCTGCATATGCAGTCTTTCACTTAAAAGAAAAAAAAATCTTCCTAAGAACTCCTGACCTGCTGGTTGCCATCAGGCCTACTTTAAAATTACTATTAGAAGTGTCGACCTTTTAAAAGGAAAGATTATCCTTTGTCCACACTACACCTGACTATGGGACCTTGCTTTGGGGGTTAAAACTCTCCAGGCTCCCCTGAGGCCTTGGGAGAGTGAGTCTCACCTGAGGGAGAGTCCCTCAAGAGCAGAGCAGAGGCAGAGCTTCAGTGGGAATAATCTAAGAAGCAGCACACGGTCTTTATTCAGGACACCGGCTTGCAGCCAGTCTTTAAGACAATGGCTGATCTGTCCAACTAGCTAGCTAGCTGTCCGCTTAGCATCCGAAATTTAAAATTCAGAGGTGCGAAACTTGTCATGGGGATGCATAATAACACATTTATTTGAATTTTAAAATTAACCCAGACTTATTCTGACAGAGAATAAGTCAGACTTGGCTGATCGGGTTTGACAATCACGACTAGCTTTGCCAATTAAGTTATATGGTTATATCTTCCATAAATTGAACAAGCTGAACTGAAACTCTGAGGCTTTAAAGAGCATTTAAAGTCTACATTCACTGTGCAATCCCTACTGATGCTGGCTTTGCTATTGATTTGCCACCTGAAATGTGACATGGTTTGTAAAGTCTTATACATAAAAGTGCTGCTGTTGTTTATGGGTGTATCGGGACACAGTGAAAGCCGGCATGGAAATGACAGGCCGGAAAGGAAACACAAGGCTGTTGTTACTCGAAGAGAAATCAGGAGAGACCACCAGGGGCTTTTATCATATCAGCAGAGTTTAATCCATTCAGTTTGATAGTGGGAACGGACATAGGAGTATATTGTTAGCTATATATATTTCTGTTCATAAAATATTCTGTTTAAAACAAATACCAAGAGGGCTGCCCTTGTAGCTTGGTTAGTAGAATGCTGCTTAGCATACTCTGGTTCCATTCCCAGTACTGCATAAACCAGGCATGGGGTGCAGCCTGTTATCCTGGTACTCTGAAAGTGTAGGAGGATCAAAAGTTCAAGATCATTTTAGCTACACAGTAAGTTGGAGACCCCGCCACAGTAAGACAGATAAATAAGCAGTGCCTTATAATCACATCAAGTTGAGCCAGGCAGAGAGGCCAACCAAGGCTACACACAGAGAAACCTTGTAGAGAAAGAGAGAGAAAGAGAGAGAGAGAGAGAGAGAGAGAGAGAGAGAGAGAGAGA